ATTCATAATGATCTCCCTGGTGTGTTATATTCACTCAAAATCTTTAAATGCACATTTGAGTGGCTAACCACCAAGCAAATGATCTCCCTAAGACTGGAACTTCCAAAAAGGAGCAAAGAAAAGGACCCAATTAAAGACTGTGAGCCTGATTCTGTGACCTGTGAATATCACAGGGATTAAACAAAAACATTATGATTTATAGATACCACAGCTGTGAGCAGTAGCTGAGAGTGGCACTAATACCATAAATTTTTATCACATCTCTCAGTTAAGCTGAAAGTCTGATCAAAAGGAAGGAGTTGTTAAAATAGGAGACAGCAGACCCAAAATGGAATCCCTTCTGCTAAGCCCCATGTCAGGAAACCAAGACTTAATACCTCATCTAATTGTTGTTTCAATCTCCCTTGGAATGTAATCTTTGACCAGTCAACCTGGAATTACCTGGTCAGCACTAATGAGGTAACCTGCCCAATAGACTCCTTCTGTTCTCCTTAGGAGGGTGACCTTTCTTGAAACAATGCTTTCTTTGCTAATAATTACCGTTTGCTACTCCCTCTCTGCCTTTAAAACCATTCCTTTTCTGTACCCTTTGGAGCTCCTTTCTGCTTGCTAAATAAAGTGCTCCATGTTTTACTAATTGTTGAATAAAGCCACCTAGATCTTTAAATTCACTCGGTTGAGTTTTTGTTATTTAACAAGCTGAAGAGTCACAAAGTTTCTAAGAGTCAGGCTTCAGTTGTGAAAACGCTTCACTAGCAAGTTAGTTACTGGTATCAAAATGTGTACCTGTCAGTGGCATCAGGGTGGCCCTGAGTTCATACACAAAGGGGGGCTTCTAGGTGGAGGCTGCCTCCCTTTTGCCAGAGACTCAATACAAAATCATCACTCACAGAGACTTGTGGTTTCTCTCATACTCCAGGAGTCTAGTAAGATCTGAGCCTCTTTTTAGATGATGAGCAGTCAAGGAGACGACAGTTTTCTCTTCACTGCTAGAAGGGTTGAGGAGTGTAAATCTGCCCATAGACTCCCAATAAACTTTCACTGGAAAATGGGATTCTGAATGTGGTCAGGTCTTCTCAGCCACACCTACTGGCAGAGAGGTGGTAACACCTTAGACAGGGCTACTGAGACAGAGGCCTCTAACATGCCAACAAAGAGAATATTTTTACGGAATGAAAACTTAGTATGCCACAGTTTACAGGCGCTTGACCTAAATGGCCACCAAATGGTGGCACAAAAAAGGGTTGTTTGTCTCACCAACACTTCTCTACTTGCACCTCATCCTGATTAGGAGAATCCCCTCTGGCACATGCAGGATGGGAAGCACAAACACATAACACAATAATTCCTGTTCTATTCTGATGGAGAAACAAAACAGGATGGTTGAATTTTCCAAAGGACTCTGCTATGGTCTGTTTGTGTCCCCTCAAAATTCATATATTGAAACCTAACCCCCAAGGCAAAGGTATTAGGAGGTGGAGCCTTTGAGAGGTGATTAGGTCATGAGGGCAGATCCCTCATAAATGGGATTGGTGACCTTTAAAAGAAAACTTTAGAGAGCTGCCTTGCTTCCTTCCACCTTGTGAAAATACAACTGGGAGTCTACAACCCAGAAGGGCGATCACTTGACCATGCTGGCACCCTGATCTCAGACTTCCAGCCTCCAGAACTGGAAGATATATATTGTTGTTCATAAGCCACCTAGTTTGTGGAATTTTGTTGTATCAGCCCAAACACACTGAGATAACTATCATAAAGATAGTTTCCCTCTGATATTATGACAACGCACAAAGGATATTTGTTGTAAGGCTCAGTCACTATCCCATCCTCATTGGCACAACTGCTAAGAAGTGTAAAGAGTACAAGATTTTACCCCATTTGCAAGCCAAAGTGTTAGTCTGCCAGGTGCCGGCCAGATGACATAGCAGTTTAGTTTGCACCCTCTGCTTTGGTGGCTATGGGTTCGCAGGTTCGGATCCCAGGCGGGGACTGACGCACCGCTTGTCAACGTGCTGTGGTGGCATCCCATATAAAGTAGAGGAAGATGGGCATGGATGTTAGCCCAGGGCCAATCTTCCTCAGCAAAAAGAGGAGGATTGTCAAATGAGGTTATCTCAGGGCTGATCTTCCTCACACACACACACAAACAAAAAAAGAGTTAGTCTGCCAGTTTCATGGATGCTGGTTCAAGACATGAGATTCCTTGGACTGAGACAGGAAAGCTTGTTCACGGCACAACCGGCAGCAAGAGCTTCCTATTCACATCTGTTTCCATTCCTTCCACATACTCCACAGGGGCCATGCAAAGACATCCAGATGGATGTCACATACAAAGTAGGTTTGTGTTTGCAGCTGGATAATATTAGGCTTAAGAAACCCAAATCTTTTAATGTGGGTTATAAGTACACCTGCCCAAATTTTGCCTCTGAGAAAGGTATTATCCTGTTACATTGGTCAGGTAATTAATCTTTCTTTGCCCCCAATACAGACAATATAGTCATCTTCCAAGGCTGTTATACAAAAATCCTTGAAAGATAGTCTGGAACAGAAGGTGACACAAGATGTGGAAAAAGAAAATGAAGAGGCCCATGGAGAATTGTCTGCCAATAGGGTGTACTTTTCCCTTTAAGATTTGGGTATAATTGATTCAATAAAAAGAGTCTGATGATTTTTGATACCAAGACTGACCTTGGTTGTGTGGTGCTGTGGGGGTTGTTAAGGACTGAAGGAGGCAGGAAGAGACACAGATTGACCCGGAGACTTCACAGGAAAGACAGATCCAAGGGAGAGAAGATGGTAACCTAGCTGAGCAATAAGAGGTGAGAGCAAATGGAAAGGAGAATAATGTCACATAGTCTGAATGAATTGAAATTTATTAGCTCATCAGAAATAAATATAATTTGCTATCCACACGTATATAACAAATCAATTCTGGATGGATTGCTGATCTAAATTTTAAAGCTTTGTAAAGTTTCTAAAATAAAACAAAGGAGAGCATCTCTGTAGTTTTAGGATAGGAAATACCTTTTAAACAAATTAATAAACATTACCTATAAAGGAAGAAATATCCAGTTATATTAATGCTAAGACTTTCTCTTCATCAAAGGAAACACACTTACAGAAAGACAGAGATAGAGAGAGCATGAGAGAGAACTAAAAAAGAAACACGTCCAGCAGATATATAGAACTACTACAAGTAAGAAAGAAAAAGACAACACAATAGAAAAAATGGACAAAATAAACTAATACACACTTCAAAAAGCGGTTGCTCAATGTCTAATAAATACCTGAAAATATGCTCAGCTTTCATAATAATTAAGAAAATGCAACTAAAATCATTTTTTGGTACCACCACACACCAAGCAGAAGTCTAAAATAAAAATGAAAGAAAATTAAAAGTGGGGCCAGCCCGGTGGTATAGTGGTTACGTTCATGCATTCCGCTTCGGCGGTCCCGGGGTTCACTGGTTCGGATCCTGGGTATGGAGCTACTCATTGCTCATCAAAACATGCTGAGGCGGCATCCCACATAGGAGGACTAGAAGGACCTACAACTAGGATATACAGCTATGTACTGGGGCTTTGGGGACAAAAACGAAAAAGAGGAAGGTCAGCAACAGATGTTAGCTCAGGGACAATAGTCTTCAAAAAAAAAAAAAATCAAAGGTGTGGACGAGGATGTGGACAAACCAAGAATCTCCTACACTGCTGATAGGTGTGGAAATTGGTACAAATGTCTCCCAAACCTGTTTGGTACTATCTCATAAAGCTAAAGAGATATAAAACTCTCACCCAACAATTCCATTATTACATGTATAGCCAACAGAAGTTATGTGTCATAATGCATGACCTAAACGTACATAGCAGCACTATTCCTAATAGTCTCAAACTGAAAGCCACTCATATGTCTATAAACAATGGAATGATTAAATTGTTTTATATTCACACAATAGAATTCTATAAGCAAAGCAAATGAATGATCAATAACAACATGTAGCAATAAATTCACAAACAACATAAGGAATGACAAAAGCCAAATACAAAAGAGTTAATGCTCCATTATTTTTAGTATATAAAATGCAAAACAGGTTAATGTGACTTGCATTTCTAAATGTCAGAGAAGGGGTTACTGTGAGGAGTAATGACTGGACTAGAACACAAAGGGGCTTCTGAGGGTCTGACGATATTCTCTTGATTGATCTAGGTACTGAGTACAGAAATGTGTTCACTTTGTGAACTTTCATTGAGCTATGCACTTATGACCTGTGCATGTGTCTTTAAATTTTTAAAATACATATCACCAATCAGAAAGGTGGGAATGATGAATAGATTAGTGTTGTCATGTCCTTAACTGTAAAGGTGGGGTTTAATAGTATTAAATAAAACAACACTGTGATTGGCTTTTAAATATATGTTGAAATTTCTAGGTTAAATACAAACAAATAATGAGTATACAACTTTCAAAGAAAAAAGGTCAATTGTAAAAAGTGTCTCTTGTGAGTTAAAAATATGGTTTTCTCTTTGTGGTACAATGTTCAATAGAGATATCCATTAGGTCAAAACAATTATTTCATTTTTCAAATTGTTGAATTCTCAATACTTTGCATCAGCTTGAAAATGTAAAGGTGGAGAAAATTATATATGTAGCTCTTCTTAAAGTACCATGCCTAGTTCATTTCTGGGAAGTTTCCTGTAATAGATTTAAGTTATACACTTGAAAATATCTCCATAATATCCAGATTGTTTCAGAGCCTGGTGTGTATTATTGCATAAATTCTGAACTTCTCCACAGATAGCATTAGTAAAACTTCATTCACATAAGTATTTACATGATACTAATATAGTATTTCATTATGATTACTATTGTGACTTACTGTTCACTTTGAAAAAGATGCTCAGCATGTCCTATTTACATTCTCTGGTCAGCCACTCGTAATTGTACCTAAAACTTTGAACGTAACAAGTGAATTACCAAATGAATATTGTGCAAATATGTAGAATTCACATATTTCTCATAAGATTAGGGTATTTTGTATTCCTTATATTGGCAAAGCAGAGCCTGGATACACTGGAGTCACGGCACATGAGTAGAAAGGGGCTGACAGTTGGGAAGCACAGAGTGATTACTGAAGTGATGTTTAAGAGAAACTGGTGGGGATTGTTAAAAAGAGACAAACACACATGAGAGATGGAAGAAAGGGTGTAAAAATAGACAAAAGTGCTCACCAGGAGAAGGATGGTTTTGGTAGCTCTGGACTCAGGGGAGGATCTGGAGGAGACATTGGTCCTATGAAGGTGTTGGACCCTTTGCTTGTGCCTGAACAGGGTGAAAACCATGGAGCTGCTGGCCCAGATCATGAGCACCAAACAGAAAACATCAGGGAATGATAGCAATGCTGCATATAATGAGTCACTGGTTTTGTCATGACGAACAGAAGAGCAATATCCGAATGCTTTTTGGTTTGTGATGTTTTTGTTGCTCCAATTGCTAGCCAGAAACATAGGATAAATGACACTTACCAGCATGTGGAGGATCCAACACATGAAAATTGTGGGGACAATGCACTTGAGAGTTTTCACTTTAAGCTCTGCCCACTTGGAGTTCCTGGGGCTGATCATGATGGCCTGGACCACGCTCAAAAGGCAGGTGGTGCCAATGGAAACACCTCTGCCCACTCCTCGAACATAGGGAAAAAATCTGCATCCAAAATCAGTGAAGACTTGATACCGCCCGAAAGATGACATTGTATAGGGGATTCCACTAGAGAACAAGACCAATAAGTTGGCTACAATCAGGTTCCTGACAATCACATCTGTGGATCTTAGCCTAGACCCAGTGAAATAAAGGAAGAGATAATGGTAAAGAAGAGAGAAATTCCCCAGGATTCCGAATATAGTCTGTAATAAGAAGACCATTCCTACAGCCAAATCTCCAACAGCCATCCTTCAATTCTCAAAGACTGATATTTGTCTTCTGAGCTAGAAGATCCTGCAGGGGAATAGGAGGCAGGGACCACACGGATCATGTCAACTGAAATCCAATATTCTCCACTTACTAATAGTTCCTACTTTGATGTAATTACATAAAGTTTTTCGGTGCTTTGGAGGTTTCCAGGAGTTGAAAGTATAACCATTAAAGCACACTTGCAATGTATGAATCACTGCTATTAAGGTGATATCCTTCTTTATCTTTTGCAAATCCATGAGGCAGGCACTATTACATTCCTTATAAAGAGGAAGACAACACAGGCACAGAGAGATCAAGTGTTTCCTCTAAAATCACTTACTGGTTAGGGCCAGAGTGGAGATTTGAATCTGGCTGGGCAAGCAACAAAGATACTGCATATAATCCAGAATATACTAAAATACTAATTAGCTGTGTTCTTCAAATAAGCCAGATCTAAATTAACTTTTGGTTTTGAACCTTGTCATTTCAATTTAGATTGGTGGTATTTTATTTTTTAATTTCAGTAATAACACGTTTCCACTTATTTATGAAGACTTATTCTATAGGCAAATATAAATTTTGAATAGAGCTTTAGAGATCTTAATAAAATGTAGATGCCCTGTTTACAATATACAACTGCAGGATCCTTCCCCAGGACAAGTTGGCTTTAGTGAATGCAAGAATGCCTCACCATTAGGATGGCAACAGAAAGACTTATTTGCTTTTATCTCAGGAACCACGGTACAATGGCCTGAGTCTCAGGAACTATGAGACCGGAATCACTGATGCCTGATGAACAGTGTACAATAGAAACCAATTATTACTAATTTCATATCATGTACATGTCCATTTATTAACAACTGAAATAAAATTATTAACACTGAGACAAGTTTTGGGAATTATATTAAAATACAAGACACACATGCAACAGGCAATGTTAAGGCAAAAACGGGTGTAATGTATAAATGACATACATTTTTTGATTGGTAATATAGTACTTAAAAACAGCAGAAATATCACAAGATATAATTGAGCCTAAAAATGTTGTCTGAAATTTGTAAAATCATGTTTTTCTCAAATATTGCTTCCATAGCTTCAAGTGGGAAAAGTCTCTCCGTAATCAATAGAGACACAATTATTAAATCTATTAAGCATTTTATACACCCAAAGTTAGAGAAAACAATTCTATTTCAGCAACTGTTATTAGACACACTGTTTCTGCACAGTATCAGATGATTTCTGTAGGTTTATACTGCTCTTTATTACAAGAATGGAGGTATTATTGGTGCACCTCTAGAAACCTGAAAATTATGTCTACGGTTCCCGTAAAGTAGGCTGAACAGTGAATGGACTCTGGATAGTTCTTAAACACATTAAAAATCAGATTTAATTATCCCTTAGATTAAACTACAACACTCACTGTCAGTGAGGATTACATAAGGAGACATCAGGAATTGGTGGAAGGTCTAGGACCCCATCTCTCTATACTATCTCAGCTCAGGCCTCAGGATTTATTCCACTTCCCTCTGTAGCTTTGCTACTAGACAAGCTTCATACACAAAAGATTCCCTTTGTCCAATATGTTCACTTACGTCGACTCCTGATACAACTTCTTCCCTTACAGATCCTACCTCTCAGATGAACATAGAGGAAACCCACCACATTTTTCCTGCTGCTTGGATGGTGGGCTCAGCCTGATTGTCAAAGTAGTTGGTACATGTGTGACAGAGGTAGCTAGACCCTGAGATATGAGTTTGTGATTCTGTGACCTCACCTCCCCTCAGAACTGCAATTATCATTTCACCTGTAGCAGCATTGGCAGTAACAGGCTTGGGAGCCCAGAATATTTTTGAAAACTTTTTCCCAGGTGCTAATTATCAAGAACAACTACAAGTTTCTAACTAGCATCTCTTAAGAGACTATTAGGGTGTTTGTGAGAGACTTACTTTTCCATGATCCCTGCAGGCAGACAGGGGCTCACATGGAGGAGAGCAGAACATACTTAGGTCTGACATGTGAAGGACTGATGATGAGTATGTTTGTCCCACAGAATGTTCTGCTTCTGAGAAGGTTTACTTAAAAGTGAGCTCTCTCCTAATTTCCTTAACTGAGCTATACCATAAGTTAAGTTATGCACAGAGAACTGGAATGAGTCAAAATATGTGAGAAGGATTTGGAAAGAGATACAAGTAACAAGAAGAACATGATGCCAATAATTTACATTAGATATCATTACACTGGTTTGCACAACTGAATGTCAGTTAATATGTCAACTATTAGGAAACTATGCTTTATCAGTACTGATCCTCACTAGTGATGGGAAGCAGAAGCAGACTAAGATTTGTAGAAGAAAGAGAAGCTTCTAAAACAGCCCCTCACAATGAAAACACCATTATCAGATTGTTTAATGAGGAGATTCAAGACCATTCTTGTAACTATCAGATAAGCCAATGCTTTTTATTTAATTCAATACCATCAAATATTCAACATAGTCCTCTACAGCTTTTTGCAATATTCTTAGTAAGGAACTATGACTCATTTTTAAATTAAGAAATATATTTCTGGCGGCTCAAGAAAAAAACAAATATAAATTATGAGGCAAATTTAATTCTTTTGATTTTCCTACACACAAATCATTTCTTTGATCCAGGTTCACTATGCTATTAAACAGAATTTTTGGGTCACTTGTTAGAGCTATAATAGCGGACAAATGATCTTACAGAAAAACAATTCCTCATTTACACACAGATGCAAACACAAACATACATGGACAGTTACATACTACACATAGAGCCACACACATCCACATAATTATACACATACATAGTCACTTCCATGCTCACACTATTTCAATTGCATACTCAGAAACATTAATACACACATCTAACACATGAAAAATCACTCTCACATATGTAAGTAATAAAAATGCAAACACCTAAAATCATGATTACACATTTTCATAAAATCACAGTCACCATGCATGTGTGTATCTCAGTAACATGATCTTATACAGAAGAATAGTTGTATCTCCAGACTTCAGGATACCTGAAAAGGACGGCCTTCCTACCCCTTATAGTCTTCCTAAACCTGCAACAATCACAAGGGCAATATTTATCATAATGCACAGCACTTCAAATGTGCTGTGAGCATTGCTATCTTATGGTGAGACATGCTGGAAAACTTGGAGTGTTTGGGGGAGAGACAGTGTGCGGGTATGTGATAGAGTGGAGTATGAATAAGTCACAGAACAAATCAGACATAAATGGTAGTGCAGAGATCCTGGGTGCTTGGGGTTGTAGAGAGTTCAGCGGAAGCAAGTGGGCAGAGAGAGAAAAGGCAAAGGGTGAAATATTAAAGTGGAATGTTGGCTATAAAAGAGCAAGTGTGCAGGGAAGTGAAGGTAGGGGGGATATTGGGATCTGGGGACCTAGGGAGGGCAGAGGGTCCCAAGAACAGAAGTGCTAATGGGGATGGGAAGTTAAGGGGTAAAAGTGAGGAAAGGCCAGTTACTGGTGGGTTTACAAAACATGGTGTGGGGAGAAGGTGAATTCAAATGGGGTAGGCAGATCTGGGTAGAGAATAACAATCCAAGTTGGATAGAATGTAGGAAAAGGAGATGGCGAATCTATGGACATGGACAAGAAGGCCAAATGGGCAGAGGACAGTGAGACAGCTGGAGAGGACAGTGGATTTAGTGAGCCAAAGAACCCAAGAGAAAGGGTCAGGGATTACAGAGTTGGGTGTAATGGGTGCAAGATGGAGATTGGGTTCCTGGAGTGTTGATGATGCCTGGGAGTTGAGGGCTAGGACAAATGAGAGTGCATGGGCATAGGATTCAGAGGGCATGGGAAGAGATTCTGGAATTGGATGTAGAGAGAAGATAAGAGGAAGAAGGGTGTGGCTGATGGACTTTGCAGAGGTGGTGAAGGCTGAGGAGGGTTAGACTAAGGTCCCTGGAATAGTGATCACAGAGGGTTCAAGGTGACAAAGGTCAGAAGATGGAGGTAGAGAGTGTAATATTGAAGGCAGAGGGCTTGGATGGAGGTGAGAGCACATGGAGTTTTAGTGGATGTCTAAAGATCACAGGTGGACAGATGAAGAATATAGCAGAGGAACAGAGGTAGAGTGAGAGGATGGAGAGGTCTAGGGGAGATGGAGGTGGCAGAGGGTAGAAGGGAGGCCACTAATTGATTCTCTCATTCATCTATTCCCTCATTTGTGATCAAATCACAACAGTCATGTGTGGTTGCTTTTTTTTTTTTTTTAATTTTTTTGTTTATTGTAGTAACATTGGTTTATAACATTGTAAAAATTTCAGGTGTACATCATTGTACTTCTATTTCTGCACAGATTACATCATGTTCACCACCCAAATACTAATTACAACCCATCACCACACACATGTACCAAATTATCCCTTTCACCCTCCTCCCTCCCCCCTT